AAGTAGCTGTTTTTTGTCCTTTAAATGAAAGCATGAAATTTTCTTCAAGCCAATTTCGTTAAATCATACCTCTCCAATAGATAAAGCATGAATTTTAGTCTTAGAGTCAACTTGTTGCTCGACCCAGACAAAGATGTCTGAGTGACAATCCAGGACGAATATATTTTCAGCCATCAAATCGTCTTGGTTGAAGTTGTATATCTCAGTCACCTGCAGCAACAACTCAATTCAAATTCATGGAGCAGAGAATCAGCAGAACAACAGGTATTAGATGCAGCATGCAGGTGAGCAACAATATTTCTCACATCTTTCATTCCATATTACATTCTGATAAAACAATGCAAGTTCAATACACAAGAATGTATTATTACTAATATAAAACTCATGCCATGACTGAGAAGTGAGAATTTGTTTAGAATGACACTTGATTGCTTTTATTACGAAAGACCAAAAACGGAAAAAGAAACAGGACTTGGAAATGATAGGCTTTTTATTTTTGATTTTTAAAAACGAAATTTCATAATGTCCTGTTGCAAATACAATCTTGACCTAGCAAGGGAAATTTTCATAATTTCATAATTGACAACCTTGGTTAGAAGAAGATGATCTTGAAAGGCATTTTTAGTAAAATTGCATAGAAGGCCTTTGAAGGTAGACAAGTCAAAACACCATGTAAATCACTATGGATAGAAACCTAGTACACCACATAAAGGATATGTGCCAGGCATATATAGTAATGAAGGTCTAGCAGAAAAGATCATAAAAAAGAATTACTAAACTTCAATATATATAGAAGAAAGAAAATACAATATTTAAGAAATCAAATTATTATAATTGCGATACATATACGAAATTACGAAATGACTAATACAATGGAACTCCATCAAGGAAAATGAAAATCTTGGTCAAACCTTAAGGATCTCTGGTGTGATTCTGTTTGGACCCCTTGAGGAGAAAAGGGCCATGATTGGAGCAGGTTTTTTGCTTCAGTTCTATAATTGTAGCCGTTATAAGACCTCGTGGATCACTGTTATGTAATGGAACCAATAAGAAAACAAAAGGAGTAAGTTGAAATATATGCACAGGAACAAAGATGAGAAAGAGAGAGAGAGAGAAAGAGATACCTTGTCAAATTCATATAGGCAAAAACAACAAGACCATCTATGTAATTGGCATTGGTTGCTGGAAGTAGATGGGCATCAGAAGTGACCTCATTACCAATTTTCTGATTGTTGCATAGGAAACAAAACATTAGGAAACATTTAAATACTTGGGTAATTCCAATGTGAATCCTATATGTTTAATTTCAATGCCATCATTAGGAAACATAACATTCAAATAGAAGGGGGCTCTGTCAAATTTATATAGTTTTCCAACAATTATATACTTGGGTATGTACTGAAAGCCATAAAATTTCAATTTCAAATTTAAGGGTAGTCTAAGAGTAAACTTTTTGTACCATGACTTTTTGGTTCCTTCAGATACTCACAGTCCATAAATCTTTATGCTTCCAAGATTGTTTTTAATTTACTAAATTGCTGGGCCATAATTAGTGCAAATTTCAATTGTAAGTCATTCAAAACATAAGAGACAATCATTATGGCACCTAGTTTCATATTTTGAATTGAATTAAATACACAGAGTGAAGGCCACAAGGAAAATAATATGATGAGTGAACGAGAGAGAAAGAGAGGTAAAGATCAACAAAATGCAAATAAAGAAATATGTAAATGAACGCATCGAACATTTAGCATTTTTAACATATGAAACACTTCAAAATAAGTGAAATGAAATCAAAATGACTTTTGTGATATAGAACAAAGAAGGGGCTGAGATCTGAGAGATCGAAAATTATAGTTAGGGTTTGAAATTGGGAGAGAAGGGGCAGAGAGATATATATATATATATATATAGGAAACAGAACATTCAAATAGAAGGGGGTTCTGTCAAATTTATATAGAGCAAAAATCAAGGGTTGATTTCAACAAAAATCAAGGGCTAGTTTCAACAAAAATCGAAAATCAAGGATCGATTTCAACAAAAATCGAATTAGCAAAATAGTAGAAGAATAAAAGAAGACAAGAGAAGAAGAAAATAGAAGAGAAGAAAATACCTCAGTCGCCGCTGTTGCTCGCTGATTGCTGCCATTGCCGCCGCTTGCCGATCGCTGCCGCTGGTCACTCTCGACTGGTCGAACGGGTGCTGGGCAATCAAGGATATGTAGAAGACTAGGGTTAGGGCTTGAAAAGAGAGAGAGGGAGAGAGGATTGAGAGATATGTTTGGAATCTCAATAATAAAATAAAAAAAATGATTTGTTTCTTTGTGGGGTGTGGGCTGCTGAAATAAATAAATAAATAAATAAATTACTTCACATTCACACATTTTTTTCTTATCACACATTGAATTAAAAGTGGGATGGTTTTAAATTTTTAGGTGTGACCTATATGTATTATTGTAGTATTAGTGGAATATTAGCAGATTAATTTTTTGCAATGGTTTGAAAGGTCGTCGCAAATTAACAAAAACGAAAAAAAAAAATAGAAGAGAAGAAAATACCTCAGTCGCCGCTGTTGCTCGCTGATTGCTGCCATTGCCGCCGCTTGCCGATCGCTGCCGCTGGTCACTCTCGGCTGGTCGAACGGGTGCTGGGCAATCAAGGATATGTAGAAGACTAGGGTTAGGGCTTGAAGAGAGAGAGAGGGAGAGAGGATTGAGAGATATGTTTGGAATCTCAATAATAAAATAAAAAAAATGATTTGTTTCTTTGTAAGGTGTGGGCTGCTGAAATAAATAAATAAATAAATAAATTACTTCACATTCACACATTTTTTTCTTATCACACATTGAATTAAAAGTGGGATGGTTTTAAATTTTTAGGTGTGACCTATATGTATTATTGTAGTATTGGTGGAATATTAGCAGATTAATTTTTTGCAACGGTTTGAAAGGTCATCGCAAATTAACAAAAAAGAAAAAAATAGGATGAGGCTTTAGGACTGAAGTGTATTGTTGGGCTCGTGGGGGCCCATAATGGATTCCGTTTTGATAATTTGAACCATTAATTTGTAAAATTCGTCGAGTAATATATACCTATAAAATATCACGTTGATCGGATATCGATAGTTATGTGATCAAATCAGTTTTGTAGTGAAAGACTGTCGGTGGTGAGCCGATCGGCACACCGACAATGTGTGTGAATCGATGAAATGTTAGCAGCGGCGGTGAGGAAACTTAGTCCCGTGAATGAGTATAAGGTGTGTGTGTGTGTGTGTGTGTGAAATTAGGTTTGATGGAGAAATTATTGTGTGTGTGTGTGTATGTGTGTGTGTAAGGTGTGTGTGTATAACCAAGCATTTTTTTTTTTTAAAGAAGAATAGATCTGCTTCCATAGGCGCCGATATATTTTCATTTCCCTCTAAAATAGTTAGCAATAAATCATTTATTGGTGACAAAATTATTTATTCACCAAAGATAAAAATATTGGCCACAAAAATAGTTTTGTCACTAAATGATATTAAAATACTAAAAATTATTGGTGACAAAAATATATTCGTCATTAATAATTTTATAATTGGTGACCAATTGTTTCGTCACCAAAAGTCTCAAAATTTTGATACCCTCCGAAAAAATAACGGGAAAATCTTCGGTGACAAAAAAATTATAAATAATGACGAAAAATAATTTCGTCACCTAATTTTTTTATTATGTATTTAGATTGGTGACGAAATTTTATTTTTGTCTCTAAAAGTGGTACATTTGGAGATGAAATATTATTTTCGTCATTAAAAGATACGTATTTTGTGACAAAATTTATTTTCGTCATTAGTTTTCGTCTCTAAAGACTACTTTTGTTGTAGTGATTGTAAGAATTTTTTTTCTAAATATGGCTTAATGTGGCTTATGCATGATTATACTAGATTCATCTCATCAAACAAGATACATGCACATCAATTAGATGATGACTAATTATTGATGAATGCACCTATATATACATAATGTATAGAAGACTAATTGAGAAAGTGTCAATGCATTGAATGTGATAGATTCATTATGAATGAATCTTGGAGATGCATTATGTATCTATTATGAATATAGAAGATACATTAATTTATCTAATGAGTTCTTTAATATAGAAGATGCATTATGTATCATGAATGTAAAAGATACATTAATCTATTTAATAAAGTTCATTGAATGAATGGATTCTTTGATGGGAAGAATAGTAATATAAATAGTGTAAGGTCCCAAATCACACTCTCCATCACAAAACTGAAGTTGTCACCACAAGAAGGCTCCCATCGCCTAGAGAAAGAGAGAGAGAAGTGGTTTGAAGATCTTAAACAAGTAAAGAACTTGAAGATCAATGTCTTCTACTCAATGTTTCTTTTTTTTAAAAGAGGATTTCATACTATCATGTATCAAGGTATGTATACTGTTATTTTGTACAGTAAAAATTAATATAATTTTCATGTATAGAATTGAATCTTTAATTGTTTTTAGTTTATGTTCCGCAAAATTTTTTATCAAGTAATTCGAATTAAGTGAAACATAAATAAATGTGAAAGAATTTATGAATAAATGTTCCTTATAAAAAATATTAATATATTATTCAAATTTATTCGGTACATATCGTATTTTTTCATTTATGATAATTTTATTGATAAGAATAATTGTTCAATAGTTTCAAATTATGTCACATTATTTATGTGAGGTGATTATTTAGTAATTTGAGAATATTATGTAACGTTGTTCTCGTATCAAATGATATAATAAAAGATTTTACGGATGAGGCAATACTATTTTTCTTTGTCAAATAATTGAAAGATAAAAAATGACTTATCTAAGTATATTTTGTGATTCTCCGCTGTAACTTTAACTCTTTTTTTTTTTTGGGTCAATAGATAGGAAAGTAATAACAATCATGAAAAATATTTGTATAATCAAACAGACCACTAGCTCACAATAACTAAAATGTCTAAAACCAATAACTAAACTCACCAAACCCAACAATTAATTCATTAAGCCTAAACCCAACAACAACATACAATCAACTCTCATAATGGAGTAGAAATAAATCACCACACTACAAAGAGTATCAAACTATTCTTCATAAGATTTGATTCTGAGACCTCACCCTATAAAGAGTGGTTCTTGTTTTTACTGGTGAGACAATGGTAATTACTTTTCGTTAGATAATTTTTATTTATTACTATTTTTTAAGTGGAATTAATAACACTAGTAATTATCTTAATAATAACCTAAATGATTTATTATTGCAATTGATACATTGCAAATTACATATTTATTACTTCACTAAACCTCTAAAGCACTAGACTTTTTGTTATCACAAACCCTAGAATTTAAAACACTGGCGAACCAGACGGCGAACAATTAACCACACTCAATATGCTGTTCCAGTAATTCTTATTCTCTTCAAAATCAACGCTGTAACAACTCCCTCCAACATTCTCGGAGTTGACAATCTCGTTGGAATTCTCAAGCAATAGATCAGTAAGCCCGTCCATGAAATTGGGAATAAGTATATTCGCATTATTTGCATTCTTCAAAGTCTCTGCAATATAAACATCGTCGTTTGAATACCCAACCATGTCATGAAACTCCATTGCAGCACTGTCGATTCTCTCTTTCATCTCCGTGAAATTGTTCGATTTGTTCACCAATTGTTCAATTACTGCTACCGAATTGTTCCCAAACAATCCAGCGTTAATGATCGGAAATGGGTTTTCCCCGAATTTCAACGTCGATGTCGGCGACTCAAGGGCGGCGAAGATGTTGCCGGCGATGGCGTTGTCTTTCGGGGTCTTTAGCCACGACCCTTTCCAGGCCGTTAGTACGTCGAGACATAGTGGCGGCGGTGGTGGCAGAGGAGCTAGGTGGTGGTGGTGGTGGTGGTGATGAGGTGGTGCGGCGGCGGAGGAGCTGTGGAAAGGATTGATGACGTGGAGCTTGGACTCTCGGACAAGTCTAGCTTCGGCTTCGAGCCGAGCGCTTTCCCATTGAGCCATGTGGCTGAGGTTGGCGGCGTCCTTTAGCTGGCCTGGGCCGAGAGCTTCGCTTTTAGGCTTGTGAGTCACTGGATCGATACCCATCTTGGTTAGCCTTTTTTTGAGGTGTGTGTTCCAATAGTTTTTGATCTCGTTGTCTGTTCTTTTCGGCAAATATGTTGCTATAGCTGACCACCTATATCAAAAAATTTAAAAATCTAAGTGTCAAAAGAAAAAAAAATAAAAAATAAAAAATAAAAAAATTGTTCATTATATAATATTTTGTAAACTTCAAATTTTGAATAATTTTTTTGAGTAAATTAGCAGTGTCAAAAAAAAAAATGTTCCGAAAAAAGAATTGTCGCTCACATTCATTTAGATATGGTTTTATCACAATTTGAATTTATTATATCTATTCATTGATTTTCATGTTTACTTTGTTTTTTTTTTTTTGGTATAGTTTTTTGCATGCAATGGTGTTCTACATTAATTATATGCAGTATTATATTATAATTAATCTCTCTCAACTTAACTATTAGTGAATACTATCATACATCTTTATCTATAAATTTTTACATTTTGACTCTCACAACTAAGAAAATACATCATTTTAGAAGATATTTGTAAATTTTTTATAATTGAGTAAGTTAAAATATACAAATTGAAAGTTGAGAAAAGTAAGAAATTATTATATAAAGTCTACTAAAACCACTATTTAATGTTGCTTGAGCACATATTTCTATAAGGAAAATCAACGACATAAAACAACATACTCACTCCTATAGATGATGGAAAAGTCTGGACCAGACATATTGACCTAAATTTTTTTTTGAATAAGTAGTTGTGTAGTAAAAATTAAATTTGTATAATGGGGAGTTCATGTGTAGAATAAATTTAAATTATAAAATCATAATTTTGAGTAATTAAGTCTAAATTTATAATGTTTACAATAGGTGATCCAAGAGTACTGATTGATGGATATTCTCGAAGAGTGGTCACATGATATTTTATGATATTAAGATTGGTAAAGAATGTAAAGTATTATAATTTTATATTAGGTGATTAAAAGATATGAGAAAATATGATAAATGATAATTAATAAAAAAAAAATATAAACACATAATATTTCAAGAATCCCTAATAATTTCCCCTTATTTACGCCTAGCTAACTAGTACAACAATATGAAGATTTTCGATTATTGAAATTACTGAGGTGAAAAAATATGATTTTGGTAAAAAAAGTTTCACTATTCGTAGTACTGCAGATTGCCCCTATTACAAGGTGATACCATATGTGATATTTTATGATATTTTCACTATAAATGATAATTTCGCTATAATTCCTAAAAATTTTATGATATTTTATTCACCCAAAAAAAGAGGTGATACCGTATGTGCGGACTTTTCTAGGGTTAGCATTGATATTAGTTGAAATGATTTAGCTTGGTTTGGCAAACTTGTGAGGTTAAATAATCAGAAAAAGATAAAAAAAAATGTTAAAAAGTTAATAAAAAATTTGTCATTTCAAAATTAAAAAGTTCAAAATGTCAAAAAAGCTAAACAAACAAAATAATTTTAGGTTAAAAAAATCAAAAAAATCAAAAAATTAACTAAAAAAGTCATTACCAAATGATCCCTTAACTTGTCTCTGGTTAGAAGTTGATCTAGATTAAACAGTTGAAATTAAACAGTTGAGATGTTGTAAGAGTCATTAAATAGAAGGTTCTTACATGTAAAAGTTTATGAAAATATGATCCAGTTAAATTTGTTCAAATACTCCACCGATAAGAGTCTTTCATTTAATAATCCTTATTGATCAAAATTTCTGTTTAATGATTCTAGCCGGTCAAACCTCAACGGTCTGATCCGAAATTTCAACAAGCAATTCCCTAGTTCAAAATATGTTGCAACCTCTCGTGTGCTCAAATGTTTCTCAGGTTAACACATGCACTAGAAGCTTAAATAAATGGTGAAAAGCTTAGGGAGGCAGGGCAAATTAATTCTTAGATCAGTAATGCTGACAAACTGAAAACTCCTGGAATTAATCATGAACTCATGATTTAATTAGATAAAAATAAATAAAATTAAGAGTTGGATTTATCTTTCGACCTGTTTCCAAGCAGAGCATGGAGTTGGATGATGGTCTGTTCTTCCTGCAAACTAAACTTGCCTCTCTTGATATCAGGTCTGAGATAGTTTGTCCACCTCAGTCTACAGCTCTTCCCACATCTCTGCAGCCCTACATAGCATAGGTATCTATCTCATCATTTTGCAGTTATGGACATGTTTGATGCATCTTATTGTAATTTAAAAATTGATAATTAGTTTTTTGGATAATTAATTTTTTTTCATTATTCAAGTTATTTTTGTTTAATAAATTATAAGTAAAAAATTGCATTAAACAATTTGAAATATTACCAGAATAAAGAAGAAAGAGGAAGTTATAAGTAAGTTACACCAAACAACTCATATATATCATTAGATATCGAACAATATTAACCGATATTTCAGTAAATATGAATATATGAAGTTCGAAATCGTATTACTATCGTATCGATTGATATTTGAAACCCTCATGCATAAATGTTACCAGCTTTGGCAGGCAAGGCACGCCAGCTTCCATGACCATGGTCTTCAATGTAGGCCAAAAGTTTCTGGTCTTCTTCAGGTGTCCATGGACCTTTCTTCAACCCCACCTTCTCACAGCATGGTGACCTCCCCATTTTAGACCAATCACCAGGTGTATCACTAGCTTGAAGCCTTTAAGCTATCTTCTACTATAGCTACCTTGCCTAGAAAGCATAGACACCCCTTTTTGACACACACACAGAGAGAGAGAGAGAGAGAGAGAGAGAGAGAGAGAGAGAGAGAGAGAGTATATTGTGTTTGGAGTAAGAAAACGATGGGAGAGTGTAGTGATGAGGTTAGTTCCTAGAAAGGGAAGTTCACAATTTATAAGGATGAAGAATTAATTATGTGGGGTAAAGTTTTAGTGATATCACTCAAATTTGTGATTTTTTTTTTTTTGGGGAAATATCACATAAGTTTAAATTTTTAAAAAAATAATTACAAATCAATAAGAAACTTCGTAAATATTAATAATTAAAATTGTAATTTTTTTTATTAATGTAATTTTTTTTTTTAATATCACTGGGGTCTTATTACTTTTTCTTTCTTTTCTTTTCTTTTTTTTTTATAAAAAAATCTTAATTTGAAAAATGGGCATCTACCATTTGAGAAAAAATGATATATGTAAACCTTAACAATTTTATCACTAAACACAAAAGAATGGCAGGAAAGGTAGGGGCTTCCCTCTAGTAATGGATTGGAGGGTCCAGTTGAGGCATGTGTGCCTTTTTTTTTTATTTTTATTATTATTATTTTTTAAGGTTTAAATTGTTTATTTTATCCAGTTTAAAGAAAATAAATAAATAAATTGTTTATTTTATAAATTTTGCTAAATATAATATTCATACAAAAAAATTAAGTAAATCGAATATTGATAGCCACTTAATTAGATAACACTTGTTTGCGAAATTTCTTTTGGCAAAATTTTAATATAGTTGTTGACAATGGTAGAAGATTGCAATTCTGGGTAGATAGATGGTTTAACAATCAAAGTTTGAGTGTGAAATTTCCCAGATCATTCAATTTGTCAGTTGATAAGGATGGCATTTTGTTTGATTTTTTCCATAGAAGGGGAGTGGATAGTGATTGGAAACTTGCATTTAGAAGGCCTCTTTTTGCTTGGGAAGAGGAGGAGGTGCAAAAACTTAATGACTTGTTGCAGAATGCACCTAATCTAAATGAAGGGATTGAAGACTCTTGTTCTTGGTTAGCTCATTCTTTTGGAACTTTTACTGAGGTATCCAAATGTCTTCATTGCCAACAAGTTAAAGCCGAACATCAACGACCCGTAGGCTTATTACAGTCCTTACCAATACCGAAATGGAAGTGGGAGCATATCACCATGGATTTTATAGTGGGATTGCCTCGCTCCAGTAAAGGTATGGACTCGATTTGGGTTATTGTTGATAGACTGACTAAATCTGCTCACTTCTTACCTGTTAAGACAATTTATAATGCGGACAAATTGGCTATACTCTATACTGATGAAATTGTGAGACTGCATGGAGTTCCTGTGTCCATTGTTTCTGACAGGGACTCGAAGTTTACATCGAGGTTTTGGCAAAGCCTACAGACTGCACTGGGTACTGAATTGAGACTGAGTAGTGCCTATCATCCTCAGACAGATGGCCAGTTAGAAAGAACCATCCAGACTCTGAGGATTTACTGAGAATGTGTGTCCTTGACTTTCAGGGAAACTGGGAAAGTCATTTGCCCTTAGCTGAATTTGCTTACAACAACAGCTATCACTCGAGTATTGGTATGGCGCCTTTCGAGGCATTGTATGGCAGAAAATGTAGATCTCCGATTTGCTGGGCAGAAGTTGGAGATAGGCCTTTGCTTGGGCCCGAAATTGTTTATGAAACAATTGAGAAAGTGAAACTGATACAACAGAGGTTGAAAACTGCACAGAGCAGACAGAAGAGTTATGCTGATGTCAGAAGACGAGACAGAGAGTATGAAGTGGGTGATCACATATTTGTGAAAGTGACACCGATGAAAGGCCAGACTCGTTTTGGAGTCAAAGGCAAATTAGCACCGAGATACGTCGGGCCATATGAGATTATTGAGAAAATCAATCCGGTGGCGTATCAAGTTGCGCTTCCTCCTGAAATGGAGCATATGTATAACGTCTTCCACATTTCCATGTTGAGAGACTACCTCCGGGATCCTTTCCATGTAATTGAGCCTACTCGTGTAGTGCTGAGTGATAACTACACTTACGAGGAACGACCCATACAGATTGTGAACAGACGGATCAAAAAGTTGAGAAACAAAGAGATCACGTTAGTGAAGGTCGACTGGCAAAACCATAGTGGCGTGTATGCCACTTGGGAAAGGGAAGATGACATGGCTAAAAGATATCCTGAACTATTTCCACTGAATCCTGTTTTCTTCCAGAACGAAAGTAACTCGAGTTTAGAGGACTAAACTCTTTATAAGGAGGGGAGACTGTAATGACCCTCACCACTGCTTACCGATAAACATTGATTACCGTTAAACTGAACTGATTATGACTGATAATTGAACTGATTAAAGTACTGAACTGACTGACTGAAAACTGGAACTGAATTGACTGAGTATGTATGTTAATTTGTATTCTATCTGTTTGATTATTTATTTGATCTGTTCACGTTTTTATGTTTAAACTGCTAATTGACGGCCTTATCGGCGGACGAACCGGGAATTGATTGATGTTTTATGATCCTCATAATTAATGTGATTTTATGGTATAATTAACTGAAAACTGATTAGGTATGATTAAATTAGATTAAATATTGGGTTAATTGCAAAGTTTGACTTAATTACCAACTAACCCTTAGTGGCCCACTCAATATAACATATTTGAGCCTTACACTTGACCTCATAACACATTTGCTCAGCCTTTCTCCTTGCCATAGCCGACCAAGAGAGAAGAGAGGGAGAGAGTGAGAGAAATTGGTTTCCATCTTGAGTTTTGCTTGCTAATTGAAGGTTGATTGTTAAATTGAGCTCCTAAATCTTGAATACAAGACTAAGGTAGGAAACTCATCTTCTTATTATGGTCATTGAGCTAGTTCTTGCATGATTCATACTTCATTGTAGAACTAAGTCATGATTTGGTTCAAGAATGTGGAATTGTAGCTTCATTCATGCATGCATGTTAGTATTGTTGGATTTTGAGTTGAGTTCATGGAAAATTGTTACATGCATGTCCATGTTTTGAGTGTAGGCCATGTTTTCATCATGTTTGTGAATCAATTGGCTCATTAGAGCATGTTTTGAAGCTTCAAAGTTATTTGAAGATCATGCATGTCATGTATGAGGATTGTTCTTGAACAATGGTTTGAAATTGGATTTGAATTAAACACACTTGGGCTTTGATTTCTCAAAATTGAGCTTTGAACCATGTTATTCTATGTGTTTACAAATGTTTTCTGGAAATTCAGCCCAAGAAGTCGAGTTTGAGTTGTTAAAAACTTGAGTTTGAGTTTGGAGGTGCAATCTGGAATTTCCAGATTTTGCACTTCCGCTCGAGCGGGGGCTAGTGTCGCTCGAGCGTGGAATCCGAGCACTCAGCATCTTGCACTGTTTTACAGTCCGCGCGAGCGGAGGATTGGGCGCTCGAGCGGAGTCGTGTATCTCAAGCTCGAGCGGGCGTCGAGCGGAGATTTCACCCATCCAGTACTTTTACAGTACGCTCGAGTGGGAAAGTTGACGCTCAAGCGTGTACCGTGTTGCATGTCCGCTCAAGCGGGGAAACCTGCGCTCGAGCAGGACTCTGTTTTCTGAAAATTCTGAAAATGCTTTTAAAAGTGCATCTTTGCATCCTCATCCCATTCTAGGCATTCTTAGGCCTAGTTTAAGACATCTTATTGAGGATATAGATATAGAACACACCAAGGCAAATTAGGAATTGAGTTATTATCTTTCCCAGCTGTGTAGCTTAGTGTGTTCAATCTGTTAACTTGTAGGGTTGACGACTGGGGAGGCACGCTCTAGCATACTGTAGCCCAGAACTCTGTGAGTAACGATTGTGTAAAGATATGTTCAAAAATGATTATTTTCTGAATACTGAACTGTACGTTTTCTGAATTGAATACTGTTAATTGAATGAATGTATTGCCTATATTCTGAACTGTTGTGGCATCCTTAGCAACTACTGTTACTGTTACTGTTACAGAGATCTCTGTCGGTTCCCTTGTTGGAACCACTACTGTTTACTGACTGATGGCCATCATTACTGTTCGGTCTTTTAAGACCTACTGTCTACTGTACTGTTATGCTAATGGATGTACCACATATGACTGTACTGATTGAACGACTGAAATACTGATTTAATGAATTGTTTTCATTACTGTAAGGACATTCATTCGTAACCTCTTTACGCATTATGTTATTCACTGGGCTTTAGCTCACTGCTCATATATATATGTAGGTGTTCAGGCACCAGACCACGGCTAGGAGCGTCAGGGTTACTCCAGTTTTGTCAGCCAGCCTTTGCACCTCACTGCGAGGTTCCAAGCCTATCATGCTAAGGCTTAGGGGTGTTTTAGAATTCCCCCTTCTGTACTGTCTTACTGTTTTGTAATAACCGAATGGATGGCACATACTGAATGTTTACTGTATTGTTATGTAAGGGATGGAGTCCCTAGTCTGAATGATTATAAATATTGTGCATACTGTTCTATACTGATTATGTATTTGTGTATGAAAAGTCTTTTGCATTCAGACTGTCACAGCTCATTGGGCATTGTTTATTTACTGTTGTGGCTTCCGCCAGGCCCTGTACTCTGTATTACTGTATTACTGTTCTGCAGGCCTTCGGTAATCTCGGATTACTGGCCGGTTACGGTGCTAAACCCATAGGGTCGGGTTTGGGTCGTGACAGTTATTCCTGATTCAGTGAAGGCATTATTACATTGGTGGTCAGATACAAATATGAAGAAAAAAGTGAAGGAGATTTGGAAGATAATTCCTCTAGCAGTCATGTGGTCAGTGTGGAAAATCAGGAATGAGTGCTTATTTAATAAGACACAACCAGATTTGGTTGTTTTGAAAGAGTTGGTTAGGTCAGAGTTGCTATGTAGGCATCTTTTCTTTTGAAGGGATTTAAGTACTCAGTGCAAGATGTTATTTATAACCTCAAGCAGGTCTGCTACTGTTTGTAGTAAGAATGTCACAGGTCTACTACTGTTTGAACTGCCTGCTGCTGGAAAGGTGTAGCACATGGGTGTTTTGATCTACTGCTGTTGTGGCCTACTGCTGCTTTG